CGAGTGAGGGGGGTGGGGGTGGGGGTGGGGTTCAATAAAGTAATCACCGGTGAAATATTTTTTATTGTTTTTCTGAATACCTCAAGGTGTTCTGCATTAACTTACCAGGTGATTACAGAAAGTAAACAATCAGATTCACACCCAAAACCTATTTATATATGTCTGAAACTGATCAATTTTGGATTTGCAAAGCGGACCATTAAGTTTAGACTAGATCCGGATCATGCCAAACAAAATCCAATCACTCACAGTCATAAACCCACAAGAGTTATCCCAGATGAACTTATTTCATACAACATGATGAGATTCTAGATGATACAACGACAATAAAAAAATAAAAAATAAATTCTTTTAACGCAAAGGAACTCAAGTAGAACATGAAATATGACATTTGATGTCCATGTAATTGAGTTAATTAGTAACAATAGATTTTAAAATTTCACTAAATTCTGGTTAGTAATTAAGCACACTGTTGCTTTATACAATTATCAAGAGGACCAAAATGACAGAGTAACAAACTTAAGGAAAGGAAAAGAATAAATTGTATCAACTAAATGAATGCATATACATTGTACGATAAGATGTTTGAATCAATGGAAGGATATAGATAGTGTAACGGGCTTTTACACAACTGACACAACGATAACTCAGCTGCATTTTCAGTATAGTTCAATATTTTTTTCCTTTTTGCATACTAGTTTTCTAGAATTCCTCAGAAACCCTCAGAAGGTATATTTGATAAATGCACAATAAATTCTCATTCTTCTTAAAAAAATTATAAATATTACATTTTTGACATGTTGATAATTCATTTTTACACCACGGGCACAATCCTTGAAGCATGTTGTAGAAGTTTATACATTGGTAAGTGAGGGGATCCTGCTAACTATGGTGAAAGCTTAAAATTGAACGATTAGTTAAGTCAATACTATGGTGAAAGCTTAAAAATTGAACGATTACTTAAGTCAAATATGAAAAACTCTAAACCTTAATTTTGACAAAAAAAGTAGTTTTGCATCATAAGAAATACATTATAGTTGGCAAAAAAGGCAGTCAGAACTATTAATTCATATACTGACCTGAAGAAGACAGTGTGCCCCAAATCTTGTCGAGATATTTTAAAATTTCAAATGATGCATCTTCAACTGTCATCATGCCTGATGTCATTGGCCAGTGTGCGAGGGTATCTTCACCATTATTTCTTCCAACAATCTGGAGTCATCATGTCCAATTCATGTAAGAGGAAATTAAAGCAGTCGGTCAGTCAAAAATGTACTTATTGTGTTTACCTGTAAATGCTTCAAAACTACTGAAAATGCAGGAGGACTCCTAAAATGAAATGCACTCCATGAATATTCAGGAGGAATGACATTCTGCTTAGTAAGAATGGGAGCAGAACTCCAGGCCAGAGGCCAATCTTTCAACAATATTGCTTCCATATATGAAGAGAGGACCCTTTTTCCACCTTTTTTACCACCAATACTAGGAAGACCTTTTTCAGACGGTACAAATGCAATCTTCCCAATCTTTTCACAAAAACTATGGTCATACAGAGTTGCAAAGTTGGAAAATATTGAATCCACAACAGATCCAGCTAGGGACCATAATTCAAATGAAACCTCATTTCTATTACCAGAAAATTCTGCCTCAAAATCATCAGGATCTGCTGTATCTGTCATCGCTTTTTTCCCGAGCAGTTCTATTTTTTGTGCACATTCAACTATCATGTCACCTTCTGAGGATGTCCGAAGGCCTACTTTCCGTAAAATATGAAGCCATCCATCTGCTGTGAATCTCTCACCAGGAAACCTGTTCTGCTCCCCCAAGAAAATCGATGTAAGTAAAGGGTCACTTGGATCAAGCAGGTCCCTTGGTTTGAATAACTCCAAGCAAAGTTCATTTGCATTCCGTAAAAAATTAGTCTCCTTCAAAGCGTCCACAGTAGCAGAATCTAGCTGCAGATCTTTCCAATTCTGATAAACATATAACAAAATATCCTCCTGTTCTCTGGAAGGTTTTTGGTCAAATCCAGGTAAAGCAAATTTCACAAGCACTTCCTGATCACTTAGCTCACTGACTCCAAGAGCATGCAGAAACATACTTGCATCCATCGAATAAGCGAGACATCGTTCATCACGAGGATGAAAAAATGCAGTTGGAGAAACTATACATTTATCAAAACCCAGCAACCTTGTATAGGTGTCTTTGACTGTTTTATATATAGGAAGTTCTCTCAACATGTCTAGCTCTTCTCTTTTGTATACACATCCTTCCGATGGTATAAAATCAGACGCAAATAGGGTGAATAGTCTATCGCGGTCCTCATTCAACAAATGAGTTGGCTCAGAAAAATGACCAGCAAGTTTACTGGCAAGTAACCTGGATACAATTACCTGCCCAAGTGATTGACCAGGTGCAGGAAAAAAGTAAGATGCTCCACAGTCTATGAATGACATATCATATACAGGTATATTCAACTGATTCAATAGACCCAGTAACCAGGGATATCTTGTTTTCATCAATTCAAATGCATTTAAATAAGACTTGTTTAGTTCAGATTCCACAACTTCATTACCAGTAGGCTCCAGCATTTCAAATTCTGCAACATTATTCCCAGAAGTCCACAACACCTCAGCATCTTCACTACTTGAGTTTGGAACAGTGGGAATAAGTGGCAGTTCAGCAATTGGTGGTACAAATACTAGTCGGTTCTCTTTAACGCGGCATAAAACTGGATGATTTAAAAATGCAGGAATTAAAGGCCAATCAGAAACAAAGGAAAGATCAGCCTTCAAGTCCCAAAAGACTTTCCAGAAGAGACGTATCCATTCAGGAGTTGGAGATCCACTTGATGAAGTTGTATTGTTATCCCATGAAACCCAAGGAGCATTGTTACTAGCAACAACACGATTCACCCATTGTTCATCAAAGAGATACTTCATATGACCCGATAGCAACAGTGGAGAGAAACTCTTCATCTTCAAAAACCTGTTGATAGTCTGGTCGGAGAGAAACTCGGCCAGAAGAGATTTCTCTAAGCATTGTGGGTGAATAAAATGAGCTGCTAGAGGACGCATGAGCAGTTGCTGCTCCTTGTTCCCAACCCACAGTTCAATCGTACCCAATCTTGCAAGGCTGTTGGCTGCAGTTGGAAATGGCATCCCTTTGAGCTCAGCTGCTATGGATGGCAATGATCGATCTGTTATTGATGTATCAGAAAGAGGACCTGCCCTGCCAATATCCTCGACAACCCCACGACCGAAGTCATATAGAGCCTTGCCAAAATATGTTACCATTTCAAGTGCATCACCCCCTGAAGTGCTTGAGCTCTGGGAAATACCATAATGTGACCTTTGCATGTCTGAGTTTGATGAAGGTGCTGCATTCATAGGCATATGGAGAGTTTCAACTGGCATACCAACTACATCGTCGGAACTATTATTCACTGCAGATGCACCGCTCCCAACCAATTCTGACGACCTCTGCAGTTGAATATCAGACAAACAATAATCCAATACATCTACATATGCTTCAATAGACCGAAGATGAACAGATTTGGAAGACCTAAGTAGATTTCGGACCATTTTAGGCTTGATTTCTCTCACCTTCACTCCAATAGCCTGAAGTTCCTTGACCAATTCCCATGGCACAGAAAATACTGGGTAATGTTCTTTAATGAAATTACAAACTGTAGATGGTGGCAAGTTTTCACCATTTTCACTCCCTGGTTGAGACAAAAACATGCCTTCATCAGCTTTCACAGCATTTCCATTATAAAGCTGCCAGACAGGAAGATCGACAAGACGCACATAAAATGGCCTTATCACTTGTTCAATTAATGATTCCCAATCAGCTTCAGTTGCTTTAGTTAAACTTGAACTCTGGCCAACAGCATCAATTTCATAAGAGGTTGCTGGTCTCTGTCTAGATCTTGGCCAGAAATAATAAATTTTATCACCATATGCCTGCAAAGTATAACTTATAGCCCGTGCAGCACCAGTTTCAATCGAAGAAGTTAAGGGATCCTTCCTGAGCTTTTGAAATTCCAAAACCATTTCAACATAAGAATCACGAACACATAATAATAGTTCTTTATTCCAAGCCTCAGTTAACTGACTCTTAGCATCATACTGCAGATCTTGCAGACTCATTTCATCTGGACGGTTGAAAAGATAGCGCCCACCCTTGTGACATACAAGGAAATATCCAAGAGCAGTCACAGGAATGCTTATAGCTCCAGATAAGGGAAGAGGAGAAAGAACGCAGCTGGATGAGGGAGCAGTTTTAGGTCGTCCATTATGAGAAATGTGCGCAGCAATGCCAGCAACCGGCGTCAGGTTGTAAGGGAGATACCGCCTGAAATTAAGGGATAGAGGTGACCATAAATAGAAGTACTAGAAATAACGTTGATAATAGGATAATAGTTTCATCCTCCAGTACATACATATGATCTTAACTTTCTAATACATGCATCGGAAAACATGTCCATAACTTCTATGTAAACAGTATGATAATAAAAAGGAATGCATTAGCTGATGGACAGAACAACTGTCAAGAGAAATTAAGTATGCACGATGTACCACTTTCTTTTCATCAGGAGGAATAATGTGTTGGTTCCCTACTCGTACATGTTGTCGACATTGAAGCCAGCACATTATTTGTACATAGGAAGTGCAAATATAGGAAACAACGGGACTAGCCAAGAGCATGTTTAGCCAACAGCTTAACCTCTTGGATTGTGGACTCACAATATTATCAAGCTAACATAATCCTTAACAGGACTAGACAAGAAATACTTTAATGTATCCTCATGCTGCACCTATCGCTGGCTAGTAACTTATGTTGCTACTGCAACAGTAAGTTTTCAAGTAGTAGATATTAAAGGAAAACAATGCAGGAAGAAGAAGAAGAAGAAATAAAACCTACAAATTTCTTAGTAGCTGATTGAATAATTTCCAGGACGCAACCTGAATTTCACTTGGTTTAAAGAAGCATATGATTTGAGGCCTTGAACAATTGCAATTTAATATAAAAAAATTAAAATCAGTGATTATTGTGTACTAAATTTATTTGAAAAGTTATGAAAGAAAGTAAAGAAATAGATTTTGAAGCAGGGAGGGTTATCCAAAAATATGCATCTCTTAACGTTTTAGATGATAAAGAAACACAGTCAACCTGAAGCCAAAAGATAACCACATCTGGCGAATGTCAAGCAGGATATAACACCTATGCATATAATGGAGGAAATCGTAGCTTTACAGGTGACCAGAATCCATAACATGTTAAACGAGTTAGGTCTCAGCCAAGTTATGGATCTAAAGTCTTTACATATTTGGTTCTCAAGATATGGATCCAAGGACCAACTCTAACGAAAATTTACCTAGCTCAATGCCCAATTCTTATTGGAAGGACTAGCACATAGTACTAATTATAAATCAACCGACCTAAAGGTCTTGTCAAACAATAGAGGCTTTATTCAAAAGAATATTCCACTTTGATGGTTGGCCCGGCAAATATTCAACGCGTTGACATTCATTGCATTGATTAATAGTAGTTCCTAGAGCTTGCTTGACAAAACTAACTCTTGCTTCACAAACCAAGACTAATTAAGGGAGAATGCCATCTTTTTTGTAGGTAGTCAATGTGAGAGCTATTGTACTGGTTTCGGCTCGCTCAGTCATCGAATTTCGGTCTTGACTTCGTATATTAATTAACAATTGAAGATCATATGATAAGATTGGAATTGAAGACGAGTGATTCAGCCCTATTGAGGGGGAAAATGGCATTTCCAAAGATTACCCCGTCCGTGGTATAACAATCTCGGTCAAAAAGTCTCATTTTGGAAAGGTAATTATGCCGTTAAGCATGAGTTTATTAGCGGAAATCTAATGCAATGAATGAGAAAATGAAAATGTATCTACAGATGCATGTTTATCCATACATAACCTATATACAGAACATGATCCACTGCAAACCCAGTGCCACAGATCCCTCCTACTTCATGAACATTTTGATGGAAGAAACATACCTATCAAGAGCCATATTACGTGTTTGTCCAGATCCCAAGCAAAGCACAACAAGCCATTCGTCAATGAAATTTCTATCACCATGAATCACACAAACAGCTATAATATGCATTTTTATAGCTGCACTTGAACTACTAAATAATCTAGATAGCTGAAACTTCCTCCATTTCTTTTCGGAAAAAGGATTCCTCTTAATAGAAGATGATGGGTCAATAGAAACAGAATACTCCAAGGATGGTTGTAAATTTCCCTCCTCCCATGTTGATAATGAGACCTGAAATGTTAACATAACATAATTTAAGTTAACGTATATTAAATATAAGAGAAGCATTTTATAGATAAGTTAGTAGGGAAGAACATGGTTATAACATCAGAAAAGTTTCTCGTCCAACTAATAATCCGTCAGTTTGCCACTGTTTAGTAGAATTATAGTAAAAGTAAATTTCAACCTATTGCGGCGTCAATCACATGGTTTTGTCCCAAACAAAAAAAAAACAAAAAAAAAAAACATTTGTCACTTATATTCCCATGCTGGTGTGTCCTCTCTTGGGTTTGTTTACAACTGATATAATTGTAGGCTTGTTGTTATATTCGACTTGATGGAGCTGTCAACTACTGCTTTTGTAGCCATTTTCATTTCTGACTGAAGGCTGTGATTCCTGGTGTTCAATTATACACAAGCCGGCACACAGGTCAGTTTTTAGTGCAGTTGGACCTGCAGACCGCCGAGCTAAGTCCTAGATGCAGTTGTAGCTTCACAAACTCAAAAACTGTATAAAATATTTTCAGACTGCAAGTATGGTTTATGATAAGCTTGAAAATCTGTGCAATGCGTCTTATGAAAAATGATTGTAGGAGGCTAGGGGAGATTTCTACTCACAAAACAACTAATTACCAATAGTAAATCAGTCAAATTATAGTAACAAGTCACAAGAAAAATCTCACAAGGACAGTACCTGTAAAACTGATTTTAAGAACAGAAGTGATGAAGATGCATGGCTAATGAAATGGTCAAAGATGAGCTTTACTCTCTTAGAACCATTTTCAAGCTCTTTCAAGTATTTTGATGATAAAGGCATACGTATAACTGTTGAATCAGAGGTGGACGATGAAAGACCCTGTCTAATACGCATTGGATTAAACTGATCATGGAATCTCTCCATCAAACCTGTCCCTGCAAATCATTATTTTGAATAAAGTTAAACCATTAGTCTTGTCTAACAGTGAATAAACGAACCCAAAGGCCAGGAATTGGCAACTGAAGGGGGAAAGAAAACAAAGACGTGCAAGGAAACATGAAAGTCTGCATTAAACTATATAAATGTGTGGGGTAAGCGCTTTGTCAAAATTCTGTTTATTGCCGGTTAATGCTTTTATGACAAAAGTATACGGTGAAAACTAGTCGGAAAACAAAAGGTGGATGTCATGAGTTATTTGTCCCTACAGCAATTTCATGAAAATTATGATTAAACCTTAAAAATGTTGAGACTATATGAATCGATGGAAATAGGCATGCTTCCACCTTTACATCCTAAAATGATTGTAGATAGAACAATAGCTCAGAAGCCACTCATTTTACCACCCTCTCCTCCACCGAACCTCTCTCTTGCTGGAAGCCAGCATCACAAACAGACATCAAATATGAAAATCAAGAAAAAGATATTTATATCAAGACGATAACACCTGTTCCCCTGGGTGGTCATTTTATTAGTTAGTTAACCAACTTATCCAGAAGCTTAAATCGTTAAATTTACAGTTTACACTATGTCAATTTTAAGCACACAAACAAAATTTTTTGAAGGGAATGTGACATTGAAACCCAAGAAAAAAATAATGGAGAAAAAAAAACAAGAATAGACATAGTATGTAAATCTACTTTCCCTTAAATATGGAATCACAAAGATGCATATAAGATGATAAATGTATCTTCTCTTTCTATTGATCATTATATTAGCATAAAAACAACTCCAATGGAAGAGTTATGAAACTAAGCCATTAAAGGTGCCATACTTCAAAAATCTAGTTCCAACTAATTTTTGTGGGTTTTTTGTCAAGCCCTAATTTTTGTCTGAAAATATCCCAAGATTTTTGCGTATGCATGAAGAGCTCACACGAACATTTTTGAATAGTGAGACAAATGGCGTGAACAGATTTCCGGCTCTGAACCATTCAATATTAATTAAATTACTATTCATGTATTTGTGAAATGAAATTATTTATTCTCGCATCTTCATTAAAGCTGTATGAAAATAAACACCTGAATCAGGATCCAACATTAAGTATGGCAAAGTGATGGTAGGCTAATTATAATAACATATCATTAATGGTCAACAACAACACAAGATTTGGAGCTTCTAAACAATAGATCTACAGAGAACAAAGTCTGGGCACACAAACAGAAACTATATATGGAGGAATTTTAGAGCAAGTTTCCAGTGAAAATTATATAATCCATTTAAAACTGAATATCCGTGTTATCGACATTGTTTTACGCGCCTATGTGGCCAAAATCTGTAGTCAAAGTTTCCTAAAATTTCTCACATATCATCAAGAGCTTACAACATGAACTCCTTTGAATAGCAAGACCAATGTTTTGGTAGTTGTAGATTGGAACCATCTACATCCATTAAATAACATATATTCTTATCATTGTTGAAAAAAAACGTTATGTAAACTTGTTATGTCGCGTTATGTAACCTAACAAGCCTTAAATGTTACGTAACCTTATGAAATAACTCAGATTCATCATAACTCTATGTTATTACAATATAATATGTGTTATTTCAACATAATATGTGTTATTTTAATATAACTTACATTAGTTCAATATAAGTTCTAGAGACTTGAGATTATCTCCTTTCTTAAAACTTGAAGTAGTTAAATAATTACTTTTGAATTGTTTGTTAAGGCTTCATGTCTAGTTTTGGTGACATCATTACGTGATTGTAAAATGATGAATATGACTAATAAAACAAATGTAATTATGAACGAGCTATAAATTTATGATTATATATTTGATTATTCGATTGTGATAGTTCCTAGTAAATCTACATAGCTCGTACTAAATTTAAAAAAAAATTATTAAAATACTGTTGCATTACAATATTCTATTCCTAATTCTTAAAATTATTATGAACTACTTTTATACTTTTCTAAATTGAACAGTAAGTTTTTTTTCCTAATTGTGATGTTATGTTCGAAAATTTTGATGATTCTAATTATTAATGTCATTATGAACAGCTTGTATTTATAAAACATGTAAATAATTAATAAATAAAATAAGCTACGTTATGCATTACATTTTTTGCCTTTTTTTCTTTAGGCCTCAACAGGAGGTAGATATATGTTACGCGTTATCATTACTTTCAACATTGATTCTTATAAGTCCACAACTCATCATCAATAAAAAAAATTTACAAATTTTATGTGCCTGATATTATTCTGGCATGCTCATTAACAATGGTAAGAGAAAAAACACTGCTGCTCTATCTGAACTTGAGATCCTACTGGAAACTTTGCTGAGTGGTTATAATAACATCATCAATTATCAGTAACACAAAAGGAAGTTGACAACAGCAGGTTTGAAGTTTCTGAACCATGTCTTGAAAACTGATGCAGCCCAGTTGGGGTTGCAATCCGATCAAAGTGCAGAAATGCAGGAAAAGAGAGAATTGATCAATGTAGGCTAAGGCCACCTGTGCAGCTGCATCAAAAATTGTCTACAATGCCATCTTATGCAGAAACTTACCGGCACAGTTCAGTGTAAATTAGTCACGAGATGTTTATGTTAAAAGTATCAGCGTGGGTTTTAACGTTACACAGAAAACATAACTGGTGCACTTTAATGGCACTGCTCTACAAGACCAAATTTGACCAAATAATTAACAATGTGTGCACACACAGTACAAGCATCTAATAATACATGTGCACACAAATGAACACATGTGCTGATCACACAAATGTGCAAGCATGCACAACATACCAATACAACAAAGACACTGAGCATGTGCTAACTTGAACAAGGAGTAGAAGATTGGCTAGAATTTACCTATCAAGGAGAATCGTTTGGCTGCGGGACCAGTATTTGATGTTGTTGCAAGGGCCAGACCAAGAGGATCGAAAATGAAGAAGTAGCCTGATGAAATAATTGTCAGGAGATCACATATGAAGTAACTGCTAATCAATCCTAGCCCATAATTGAGTGCATTGCCCTGAATTTTCCATGGAGGAGGTAACTGAAGACCACACACATCTTCCACGCTCAAAGTGGCCCCTTCCAGTACTACGGTCAGAGAAGGACCTTGGAAGTCACCTAGACATACAGTGAAAAAAGAAAACAGAAACAAACTAATGATTTTATGACATTGAACCGGAAACCACGTGAGGGCTAGAACGCTAGATGAAGATTAACAACAAAACATGAACAATAAAATGAAACCATTGCTTCCCTTTTGAAGCCTTGATCGAGAGAATGTTAAGATGGTCTAACAGAAGAAGAACATGCATACCAAGATTATGCTGCAATAAAGATTGTCTTGAATGTTCACGTTTATCATATATCAAATGCAGTTTCTTCGCCTTGCAGCAATCCGCCATCTCTAGAAGGTCAAACAACATAGAATTGACGTCCCCATATAAAGCTAGAAGGTCACATATTCTAGCATAATCCATGCACGGTAAATTCCTAGTCATCTCTTCCTCAACTAATGACGAGCAGCGAAGGGATTGAATCCCCAGCTTTTGTGCTAGATGATTAGTAATACAAGGATGTACAAAATGCTTTGCATTGGAACCATTTTTCTCCAACCACGGTGCATCATTATACACAAGATTAGAAGGATGCATTAAAACCCCAGAAGAATCAGGAATCAATAGTGAGTTCATCAAAGAATCATCTAAAGGATGTTCGGCAGAACAGTCGGCAAAAGCTTCCAAAACGCGATGTACAAAACTCAACTGCTCATCTGATAATGGTTCTTCTTTCTGATCGTGTTGCAGGCATTGTAGGACACGAACATAATCGATGGCATCAAAGGTTGATTTCACACCCAACTTTGAGAGCAAGTCTCTGAAATCTGAAAGTTCGGATGGTACAGCGTATAGATAAGGAGGATATTTTACAGGAGAGTCAAATGCAAGTGCTTGTGGTAATATGAAATTATCCCCTATCCATACCCAGGAAACACCACCCAAAGCCTCTTTCAGAATTTTGAAATCATCAGTATCAACAAATCCCTGCAATTTTGAATATATTGATGGGATTTCCCTTTCTAAAATAGCATCAATAAAAGATTCTTCTTCATGTTGCAGTTTAAGATCATTGTAGGACTTGGAGATCTCAACTAACTGAGTGGTGAGAACTTCTACATCCAGTGAGTCTAGCCAGCCAAGTTTGTGTTGTATGTAATTTGAGCAGTAATCACTGTCCAGAATTCGCATTTTGGATGAGACCATCCACATCTGTGATCTAGGTCTCGTGATGTTTGGAGGTGCAACATGTTTATCTGATGCGAACCATGGAAGTTCACGAAAAGGTGGAGAAATAGAAACAGGACACCATGCAATGGTCCTAATTTCTGACCAAAATTCCTCTTCTGATAAATCAGAAATGAAATTGGAAAGAAAGAATTGCACGTCCTGATCGCATATATCATACCCATCTTTTTGCATTTCATCCTGTGTTTCTTCATCAAGTGAACCAGCAGTCTTGTTTAGCATTAGACTAGCAGTGTCTTGGTTACTTGGTTCAACATTAGCATCTGAGAGCTTGGACCCAAGAGTTTAGCATTAGACTAGCAGTGTCTTGGTTACTTGGTTCAACATTAGCATCTGAGAGCTTGGACCCAAGAGCATTCAGATAAACAAGTAACCTCTGACTAACTTGGTTCAACATTAGCATCTGAGAGCTTGGACCCAAGAGCATTCAGATAAACAAGTAACCTCTGACTACGAGTGAGTGCATCCACGTTCCCTGAATCATGCAACATCGACACTGATCTGGCACTATCAAGTAAACAAGTAAAACTCAAGGCTCTCTTAAGTCCCATACTTGCTAATAATTCGAGTATGCCAGCATCTAAAAACTTGTCACAAGGAAAGAAAACTTCTTTGTGCAACAAATTCTGCAACCCTGGTGCATGAGGATCATATAGCCTGGGGATAATTTTAAAAATGTAGTTCAATAGCAAAAAAAAGTATGAATTCTAGAACATATCTTCTATGGCTGATCAATATAACAAAATGATGCTTATGGTGAGCATAGCATTAAACTTGGCATTATTTCCATAACAAATCATAAGTAAAAAAGAATCAACATGAGATAAATTCTGAGAATGTGTAAAGAAGAAACCCAACAAGATAGTATAGAGAAACCATGTATTGTATATAATATGAATTTCACATGTTGTGTATACTTTTTCAAATCATACTAGCAACATCTCCTACTTGACCAATTAGAAGATTATTCACACTCAAATGAGCATCAGAAGAAGTGATGGCCAGCTAGATAGCAGTTAAGAAAAGTTATTGTTAGAAGAGAGTATTAGTTTAGCATTGATTTAGTCCCATATTGCCTCTGAGACTAACTTGTAACTAATTCATCTCTATAAATAATAAAGTATAGGGTGAGGGGAGATCTCTCCAAAAAACTCGTTTCTCTCCAAATCTCAACATGGTATCAGAGCCTATCCCTAACTCTAACCCTAATACTAATCCAAATTCTTAAGCCTAAGCCTAAGCCTAACCCTAGGTCAGTCGTCTGTCTCCAAAACCCTAGCCGCCAAAACTCGTATCGCCCTCTCTAAAACCCTAAACCCAATTTATCGCGGGTCTTCACAACCACAAGCACCCGCCCCACGTCATCTGTTCCCCTCGTCCTCACCATCCATCGTCCATCATCTCCTCAGGTCATCCATCGTCACGCCACATCTCATCGCTCCACCTCATCCACCCTCGCCGCCTCGCCCCGAGGCGTCATTCTTTAGTTCGACCAGTATCTGCCCAAGATCCGCGCCCTCGGGCCGGGCGTGTGCACCATGAAGCCCTCGTTTGCTGCCGCCATGCCAGCCGCTCGCCGCTCTCTTTTGCTTTTGGATCTGAATCATGTCTGCGAGTTGCCTTGTAAAAAAATTAAAAAAAAATAAATCTTTGGGTTCCATCTTAATCTTCGGGTTCTTGATCTTTAACTTTCGGGTTCCAGGTTAACCTTCGGGTTCTTACACTTTAACCTTCGGGTTCAAAATTAAACCTTCAGGTTCTTGGACTTGTTCAGCCCACTGGCTAATTCAAGAATTATTTTCTTAAACTTGTACATACTTTGATTGTATCCATTTTAGAGTACAACTTGTGGAGGGTACTGTCTTGAACTCTACTCGTCTGTTTCATGATGGCCGGATCTGAAGAACTCAAGAATTCTGAGTTAACGATCCAGACGAAAGTTACTGAGATATTTTTTGGTAGAATCACTAACCGGAAGCTTGATGAAATTAACTATCTCCGATGAAAACGTGTTATTGAAATCTACGTGGCAGGCCGAGATAAAACTAGCCATTTGTTGACAGACACTCCTACGTCACCAGAATCTTGAACATTGGATGATAGTGTCCTCTTGCATCAAATTCTTAATACTATGGAGCCTAAAATTCAAGATTTAGTTCTTCATTATATGACAGTGAAGGAACTTTGGTTTTTTTTGCAAGATCTCTATGAGGGTCGCAGCAATATTAATCGGGCATATGAAGTAATTCAAGAGCTGTTTCGTAAGAAACAGGATGGTAAACCCATGGATAATCATTATGGTGAGTGCAATCGTCTGGCTGAAGAACTTCGTCAGATTTTTCCTATTACTGGGGATGTAAAACAAATGCTAAACCAATAAAATAAACTTATATAGTACTCACCTACTTGGGTACCCTTGATTCCATTTACTCTGCTTGACCACAAATTATGGGGAGCTCCGCCATTAGTTCTCTGACTGAGACTTATCACTTTCTGAAGAATGTTGTCCCTGCACACACTTACATCCACTGCGGATCGCTCTACGTTTGCCACTCAGAGTTGGCAGTCTTATGGATGAGGGGGTCATACTGGTGGTGTTAGAAGAGGTAGATGAAACTTTGAAGGGAGGGGAGGTTACCACACTAGTCGTTCTAGGGGCCGAGGTGGTCAACGAGGTGGCCGTGGAGGTCCATCTCAAGACAGACATGCTCATGACGATGACTCAGTGAAGACTTGTAACTACTGTCACTAGCCATGACATCTCAAATATAATTGTCTTGAATTGGAAAAGAAGAAAACCAATGGTGCTTACATGACCACTGAGGAAAACTTCACCTCATCTGATAGTGAAAGTCAACCACAGTCACTCTTCCATAATGCGGAGCTGCTGCGTCAATTTTAGCAATTTTAATTATTCCAGCAGTACCAGAGTTCACAAACATCGTCCTCCTCCTTATCCGCTAGACTCAAAAATGCAGGTGCCCCTTTATATTTACTTATATCGTCTTCATCTAATACTTGGATTATAGATACAGGTGCCACTGATCATATGACTAGGAATCAAGATATTTTGTCATCTTTCTCCCCTACATCTAATTTGGTTATATTAGCAGATGGTTCACGTATACCTGTTCAGGGTGTCGGCAATACCAATCCTACTAGTCTTCTTCTTTTCTTCGTATTCTATCTTCCTAGTTTTTCCTATAACCTTTTATACGTTAGTAAGATTAATAAATCTCTAAATTGTACAATGACATTCTTTACCCTACATTGTGTCTTTCAAGACCTGGTCACGAGAAAAACGATTAGGACGGGACATAAGCAGAACGGCCTTTATAAACTGAAATTGGGCGTCAAACATTTGGCTTGTATCGGAAACTTATCAGCCCTACAATATCACTGTCAGGTAGGATATCCCTCTCTCTCTCTGTTCTCAAGCTTCTTAATCTCCAGTTCAAATCTCTTTCTTCATTAGAGTGTGAGTCATGTCAACTTGACAAACACCATCGCAATGTTATAAATAACAGTAAATAGCCCCGCAATAGCGACGCTAATAGCGTTAGCGTTCCCTTCCCTTCCCGCTATGTTGTCGCCAAATAATGGTGACATTACGGAATATGCATTTTCGCTTGCAAAAGCGGCCAATAACGCACCACAACAGTGAGTAGTGAGCTATTACGGGTAAAATTCGCTTTTTTATCGCTATTTAAAAGAGGTTTGAGATTTATTTTTTTAAAGTTAAACCCGACCCGCAACAACTACATCACACCGCCTCTCTCGCTTTCCGGCGTACTCCTACCGCCTCCCCATAGCCTATGACACCTCCCTCAACACTTCCTTTCACCTCCTCTCGTCGTGAGATCTTCCTAGTAAAGTCCTATCACCCCTTAGCTCATCTTCTTGAAGATAACAACTCTTTGACTTCTCTAGTTGTCTTCGGTATTATGTGACAGTTACATGTCTATTTTATGTTTTGAATCTCTTTAAATCATCAAATGTACTTTTAGATTTTCTAAACTTTTAATAATTTTTTAAATATTTATACATATCTAAATAGCGTTAGCGTTCCCTTCCCTTCCCGCTACGTTGTCGCCAAATAATGGTGACATTGCGAAATATGTATTTTTCGCTTGCAAAAGCGGCCAATAACGCACCACAGCAGTGAGTAGCGAGCGATTACGGGTAATATTCGCTTTTTTATCGCTATTTAAAAACGGTTTGAGATTTATTTTTTTAAAGTTAAACCCGACCCACAACAACTACATCACACCGCCTCTCTCGCTTTCCGACGTACTCCTACCGCCTCCCCATAGCCTATGACACCTCACTCAATACTTCCTCTCACCTCCTCTCGCTGTGAGATCTTCCTAGTAAAGTCCTCTCACCCCTTAGCTCATCTTCTTGAAGATAACAACTCTTTGACTTCTCTAGTTATCTTCGGTATTATGTGACAGTTACATGTCTATTTCATGTTTTGAATCTCTTTAAATCATCAAATGTACTTTTAGATTTTTTTTAATTTTTTTGTAATTTTTTTAAATATTTATACATATCTAAATTAGGCCGTTATTTGATTTTACGCTTTTTACCACTATTTTGTCGCAATAGCCTCAAATAT